TGATAAGCCATACCTGAGATAACCCATAACCTGCCATAACCCATAGGAATTTCCAGGAACCACTATGGTTCCTATCAAAAACCAGACCCTAACCCATAAACCTGCCATCCCCATAAGCATCACTGACATGTAATATTGAAAGGTTAATGTCATATCCCAGATCTTTGTCAGGGCACACACCCTGACTAGCCCGGACCCGGACCCGCATCCGGACCCGGACCTGGACCCGCATGTGCACCTCTGCCCTGCACGCTCTGCACGCCGCATGCTCCGGGCCCAGTTCCTACCCTTCATGTGACTTCCGGGTATCCCCGGAAGTTTTCGCCATATTGGGGCCACTGTGGGAAAGTGAGAAGTTAACCTTCTTCTCACTTTCTTACCCACAGTAGGCAAGTGTAGCCTACTTCCTATTTATCTATACACTTTCTTACCCACAGTAGCTATGCCCTGAGATGGGCTGTGTTTACAGGCCAGACTGTGGACTGTAGAGAGGGGTCATGGGGACCCGGGGTCCGTCCCCTGACAATCTTCCACCTCCCTCCACCCTATTCCTAGACAACTCCTATAACCTCCACCAGCCCTCCCAACCTCTCTCTGCTGCCTCCGGTCAATGCCAACGATCCTAGGACTACCTCCTCCTTTGACACTCTCCTGCCCTTCCTCCCATCTACGTCTGCATCACCTCTGGAACTCCTACATTGTTCTGGTAAGTTACTAGAGTACTGACAAGCTGTTGGGAACCTCAGGACATACCTCAACTCTCACTCCTCTTCCAGACCTCCTACCTCTGGACCTCCCCTACCACACCTCCTCCTCCTTGGACCCCTTGTTCAAAGGAGATGGACCTCAGTCACCTACCTGTTGTTGGTAACCCTCAACTTGTCTATCCACCCTCCTTCTTACTTCTGGTCTCCGCACCTCGAGCACCTCTGGTCATGTACCTCAGGTACCTCCATTCCTCTGGTACCTCCCCACTCCTACCTTACCTATGGTCACGTTATTCCTTATTGTTATATCATTTGATATTTTCTACAACCCCAATATTCCGGACTACGACTTCTGGGCCCCAGACTCTTCTGGACGTCTCCCCTTGTAGTTCCCCTGCTCATTCATAGATGGGCCCAGGCCTTACCATTCAGTTGGTTTCTAATTCTCCCACTCCACAGACTTCAGATGTAACTCAGGCTTTTCACCTATTCTATATTTGTCCTGTGGAGTCTTTCTATTTACTTCTCCTTCCCCTTGGTAACCCTTGGTTTCCTTTACCTCTGCTATATGTATGCATGTACCACCCTAGTAAATAGTTCCCCCCAGTTATAATATCAAGTCCTTGAATCCAAACCCTCTCCCAGGACATCTATTGCATTCTACTCGTCTGCTGCTCCACCCTGAACCAAGAACTGAGTGACAGACATGTCTAAAGGCACCTTGGTATAAATCCCAATGAATCATGTGACAAACAATTGACCCTCGCTAACACCTCCATCGTTAAGTAGTGAGGGGGGGGCTTCTGGCCCCCTTCCGCTGGCAGCCTTGGTTCCTCCATCACCAGCTCCCCTGACAAATTGGGGACAACGAGGACATAACAGGCACAGCGCTCCATTCCAAGTTGCTGAAGCTGAGTCCCTTCAACACCCCATCACCCTCAGAGCTCTGCTCCACCTTGTCAGGGACAGCTCCGAAAGCGGTGAGGTCCCTGCGCGTGGGACTCGGTGGGATGAGTAGCGGCTGTGCATAGCGGCAATCCCGTCATGGGGTGAGCGTCCCTGACCACTTAAGCTGAAGTGGGAAGTTGAGATTATCATTAAAAGGGAAAAGCTACAGTACTTACCTGAAGTGGGAAGTTGAGAAGAAGGCTGCTTCTTCTGTTCCCACCCCAGGCACTATTATATACATGTGGCCAGGGTCACATGGAGGAAGCCACGTCATCTCCACACACAGCCGCACCTCCCTTGGTGTCTCCACGGGAGATCCCGGAGGTGGCCGCTCAGTAGGCGGGAGTGTGTGCAGTGCGTTGTTGTGGGGACAACTCCGTGTACCACAAAAAGTCGGATTCTGCGGAATTTGGCCACCAACATATACCACATACCCTCTGACGCTCCCGATGTTCATTCTATCACTATCCAACACTCCACAAACTCATTCCTTATTTTTCCCTATTTTCCCCATCATTCCCAACAACCCCAAGCAAAATTCCCACGCCCAACCACGCCGCCAATTTCACCCCCTCTCCAGATCTCCATACCTACACATACAACCCAGCCATTTTTTCACCCGATAGTGATGCTCTACCTTCCTTCTTCACCCCCGGAGCATTTCCCAGAATGGCAATCCCATGCCTGGATGGTTCAGCATGGAGTAGAGTCTCATGTGGTCTTGACAGCACCTGTCAATGGCCACATCTCAACAACTACTGCACCAAATGGGACGAATAGGGGCTCGTTGGAAAGCTGGAGACGAGGAGGTTGCTGACGGGAGGATAGGCGGGCGCTGTGGCGAAGCGTTGCGGAGTTAACCTTTACATTTCCCATTTCGGACCCGTTATGATATATCCCCCATTCATTCATATTTCTCTTATTGTTTCTTTGTTCCCAATTGGATATTCATCATTTACGGTTGCCTAACGGCCCGTTTACATTCCCCCAGTCTATTTATTTCATTTCAAACATATAAAAACTAGATAACAGCTTGTACATAAGAAGTTAGTATTGAATAGACCCGTGAAAGAGAAAGCAGAAGTTGCATCCAAGTGGCAAAGATGCCATCCACGACTCTAACGCCTCCCCTGAGTCACTTGCTTACATCTGAGACCCCTTTCCTCATAACCCTCGGCCTTGACGTCCAAGAGAGACGTAGGTGAGTGTTGAGTTGAGGCTCTAACAGACCCGCTAGCACCCCAGGACCCAAAGAACCGAACCTCCATCACACACGCATTCACTACCACCATCCCCCCTTTCTCTGTCTTGAGTCTAGGCAATAGACCTGTTACAGCGTGTGGCGATCAGGGGGGCGGGGTCAGGTATGTAGTAGTACATGGAGAAAGGGAAATCGACCGTAGAATAGAAATAGAAATAGAGATAGAGAGAAGGGGGAAAATGGGGGAGGGGAGACGGGGAGTGATAATGGGGTAGTGCAGTACGGCATGGGGTGCGGCGTGGGGTCAGGCAGATGTGCCCTGACACACCTCCAGCCTGTCTACTGTTGGAGCACTCCGCTTCCCATGATCACCTCGAATACTGTTTCTGACAACTTGGCAAGAAATGAATGGTGTGTTGCCAAGCAGCAAAGGTGGCTGGAGGAAAAAGCAGAGTTCAGTGCAAGCACCAACACAAGTCCACAAGATGGAGGTTGATCAGTCAGTGCTGTCACAAACAAGGTCAGCATGAGAATCAACAAAGATACAGAGGGGTGCAGGAGTGCATTGACCTGACTACAGAGGTGTCAAGGCCAACCATGAAGTGAGTGGAGGATGCAGGTGTGGGCAGAGGGTGTGGAGTGGGCAGAGGATGTGGATGCAGTGCATGGCTGTGACCACATAGTGGGGAGTGGTGAGTGTGGTCTGGATAGTGATGAGATGAGAATAGGTGAGGCTAGGCTGTGCCATAGTCCTAGGAGGACTGGAGGGGTGCAGAGGCTGGAGTGACTGAATGCTGGGAGTGCCACAGGCTTGGCAACTGGAGGCAAAGTCAGGATTTGGTTGTTGGTCAAGTCTCACTTGATGGGGGTGCAGGTGGTAGGAGCAGGACATTGGATTGAGGGCTGGGTGGATTAGGTTTTGGGTCAGTGGATTTGCCTATCAGCATTAGCATCACTGGCAGAAGCCCTGGGATTTTTTGGTTGTGACACCATCCACCACAATCATTCCAACCTCCTGATCATCATTAATTGTCACTTACTGGGTAGGAGTTAGCAACAGCAAGTACAACTAGCAAGTAGATCACATACTGGTCATGACCATGCATGCTGACCCTGAGTGTTAGAATACAATTCCTGAGGCAGATGCATGAGGTGGTAGCAAGCATGAAAGTTTGACACAGCCACATGATGTCACATGACAGTTCATAAGTGCTTGTGACATCTCATGCATATTCATGCATGCTCATGACTCATCATACATGTTCATGGAGCACCATGAATGTCCATGATGGGGACAGGTCAAAATTGTTACATAGGTACAGGTCAGGTGAATAAGGATGACTGGTGGGGGCAAAGCTCCGGGGTTGGGCTTCAGCCTCAGTGACTCCAAGAGAGCACTGTGCCCACCTACTGTCTCACTGCCCACATTTCAAGGTGGCTTGGGGCTGCCTTACTAGGGGGACTAAACCATGTTGATATTCAGACTAAAGTTATATAGTAAGGAAACTGAATGGGTCAGGTGACAAATAAGGGCCAGCATCCGGGTCAGAGTGCATGGTCATGACAAAAATAAACATATGTATGACACTCCATGACACTCATGAACCTCCATGAGGCATCATGGCATATTGTGTCACCAGCCATCATGAACCTTGTCAGCACATGATGGTTCATGACAATTTGTCATGAACTGTCATGAAAACCAAAATTTTTAATGTAAAAAATGTCTGATTCAATTCAATTGTCATGACATGTCATGACTCCTCATGATTTCATGATGCAGGATTACAGTTTTGGAGAGTACCTCAAGCTGGTGGAATAACCACTGGCTGTTAGCCATGGCTAAGATAGTGGAGCCCTACAATGCACCTGATGAGTTGGAATTCCTGTGAATCTATGAACTCCTCCACTAGCATTTTGTTCTGCTGGTGGTAGGCAGTGAGGAAGGGATACTGGAGAACCCTACTCAGTAAAACAGTGTTTGAAGCTCCACACCACCTACTTTATTATTATTTCTGTTTGCTCTGTTAAACCTGAAGTGCACAGTACCAAACTGGCCCCAGTTTCCCTCCCACAAAACCCTCACTGAGGGGCCAAAAAGCACATCTATGTGATGTAGTAGCCCAATCTGGAAAGCATCTGTGCTAGTTACCAAGTGGGGGAATGTCCAGAGCATCAAGAGCCTTCCCTCCTTGTCTAAAATTTGGGTCGGGCCTTTGAGATTGGGCCTAGGAAAATTATGAGAAACTTTCAGCTTCATAACATCTTGGGCAAAGCTTGGACTTGCTCATATGGGATGGGACATAGCCATTGTAACACATGGGAATGAGTTTCCAGGCTTCAAACTAGCACTTCATCAGCCATGAATGTTTTTTGCCTGGGCCTGGAGACACCGCTTGCAGCTGTTTCTTGAGTGGAAAGCAGGGTGGGGGCAAGGAAATTGGTCACCTGTCTGTGCAACCTCCCTTTAAGCATGACTTGGGAGCGGCATCTGTCTTTTCCCTGCTTTTGCTCAGGGTGGGCTTTGTCATGGGCTTTTTCCCTTCACACCTTTTCTTCCAGCTTGCTGCATTGAGCACTTTCTTGCAACAGCTGGATGCAAGGAAGGCCATGGGCTTGGCAGGTGGGCTTGTTGAAGGGGCTCCATTAAGGGCAGGCTGGTGTTTTTGTCCCTACTGAGCAGTAAGGCAGCTTTTTTGGAGCACCTGAGCAGCCTGACAACTAACCTTTTGTTCAGCTCTACAGGAGGGAAAACCTCACCATCCTCAAGGTAGCCTGTCAGGATATCATCCTCATTGGGGGCCAATATAGTCAGTAAGCCCATATCCAGGGTAGAGCCTATACTCTTGTTGCTGAGATCCAAAGCAGCAGAAGAAAGCAAGCCAGGGGATGAAGGTGTTTGAGGGTAGCCATTGGCTGCAGGGGAATTGTTTCCCTTGTAGGCACTGAATGTTTTCCCTGTTGATAATCTAAGGGCCATGATGCTGTCCTGGAGTGAGATGGAAGTGCTTGGTGTATGTCAGGGTTCAGCACCCTGCCTTTGGGTGCCCCAGACTCCCTGTCAGGGCACACACTGTGACCTAGCCCAGACCTGCATCTGGACCCAGATCCAGACCCGGACCTGCACCTGGCTGCTGCACTTCCCGCATGCACTCTGCACTGCATGCTCCATGTGCTGCTTGCTCTGAGCCCCAGGTCTCTTCCTTCATGTGACTTCCAGATATTCCCAGAAGTTTTCCTGATATTGTGGCCACTGTGGGAAGATGAGAAGTTAGCTTCCTTCTCATCTCCTTACTGTCAGGGCACACCCACCTGACCCGGGTCCACCCAGACCCACCCGGCCACACCACACCCGCTCCCCGCTGTCTATCCCCCTCCCCCCTCCTTCCTCCCTCTCCTTCCCCTTTCTTTATTTCTTTCTTTTCATCTTCCTCTTCCTGTTTATTTCTTTCTATCTACATGGACCACCTTCCTTTGTATCGATGTACTATTGACCCGTCCGGCCCACACACCCCAGACGGCTTCCCGCTGTGCCCAGCACGCGTGCATGCAGCGGACGCTCTCGGGATCCCCCATGGGGACACCCAGATGCCTGCGGCTGCCTCCGAGGATGACGTGGCACCCATCATGTGACTCAAGCTGCATGTACATAAATGTACCTGAAGTGGGAACCGAAGAAGTAACCTTCTTCTCACATTCTCCACTTCAGGTAAGTAGTATAGTTTTCCCCTTTAATAATAATAACACATTCTCCACTTCAGACTGAGTGGCCAGGGACCACTGTCCCGGATCGGGCCCACCAGTATGCACGCCCACTCCACACCCCGCGATGGCTTCAGTGCCGGACATTACCCCCAGGCCCTCTCGACCCCGGACGCGTCCCTGACACTTACCCACAGTAGTAGGATTGTGCCCTGGACAGGGCTAGTTACATGTGAGGCTGTGGACCATAGGGGAGGGTCATGGGGACCTGGGAGTCATCCCCTGACACTCCCCACCCATTTCATTCCCCCTTCCATTGTTGCCTTGTTGTTGCCTTTATGCATCAGCAAACCTGGATGTGGAGGCCTGAGAGCTCTTAGAGCTTCAGTACTTTGAAATTGCAGGTCCCCTTCTCTCAGAGCTCCCCAATGTAGTCAAAGCTCTGACAAGTAGTCAAAGCTCATAGAGCTATATTTGCACACAGGGGACTATTATCTATATGAGCTCCCTGAGTGTTTAATTTATCTGATATCAAAATTAAAATTTAAGAGCATTGACTCTGGCATCATGTGATGAGTCACAGCCAAGTCCCTACCATGCAGGAAACTGAACAAACTGAGCTTAACTTTCAGCCCCCAATGCAGCACTACACACCAAGGGTATATAGCCAAATTAATATATAGACCAAATTTAGGGATATACATATACAGTTAATCTGAAATTACTTAAGGAAAATGAGGGAAAATGAGGGGAAATTTGAGGGGGGAATGGGGGGAAATTGAGGAGGGAATTGGGGGGGGGGGAATGAGGGGGGAATGAAGGGAAATTTGAAGGGGGAATGGGGGGGAAATGAGGGGGAAATTGAAGGGGGGAAATGGGGGAGGAATGAGGGGAAAATCGAAGGGGGGGATGGGGGGGAAATTGTGGAGGGAATTGGGGGGGGGGGAATTGAAGGGGGGGATGAAGGGGAAAATGGGAGGAAAATGAGGGGGAACTGGGGGGGTTCTAAAAAGTCAGGGAAATTTAAGGAAATTTCAGAAAATGGGGGACTTTCTAAAAATGGAGAATGTCCAAAAAATCAGAAAATTTGGGCTAAGTTAGGGAGAGATATTTCAGGAAATTAGGAATAATTGGAAAAGAAATTAAATCACTTTTTTGATAATTCAATGTGTATTGGAAAGTGCCAAAGTGGGGCAATGTAGCAGTGTATGTTTCAGTGTTAGAAAAGTCTCCCACCATGTTTTGGGGAGCCAAATAACCATGGCTTTTTGACCATGGGAAATTTGGTGTCAAAGGCTTGGATGATATCTGAAGAATACATCAGCTTTTTGTTTGCTTTATTGGTGGTATTTTTAATTTACTTCATTTGGAACACTTTTTTAAAACTGATTTATACCCTACATAACATGCATGGTTACACTGCCACACTTTGGTGCTTTCCAAGTCACATAGAATCATCAAAATTGGTTGAGTTTTGAGCAAGAAATGAGATGAAAGATAAAGTGCAAATTTTTGAATTTCAGAGTTTTCCTCATATTTTGTAAATAGCAATAAACAAATAAGGTGCTGATTTTAGTAAACACAAAAGGTATATGAGCTTTCAGAGCAATGACAATGGCCATTTTACACACACATATATCCATATTATCTTTGCACTACTGGTGCCAAAATAACTAAGCAGATTTCATGGAGATATGAAGACCATCCATTATTTAAAAACAAAAAGCTCTATGAGCTCATAGAGCTCATAGAGCTTTTCAAGTAATGATGCTGGCCATTTAATATGCATTTCCAAAAATGTATATACATATTATCTTTGCACTTCTGCATCCTTAGGAGAACAAAATCATTCAAACATTTAATTTTCTCCACCCAATGTGTAGAGGGTGCACAGCAAAAAGACTCAATTTGCTCACAGAGCTCCCTACCAAGTTTGCTGATGTGTGTTGTGTATCCACATGCATGGGATAGTGTGGGAACTTTCTGAGTGAGCAGCTCACCCAGAAACCAGCACTGCCACAACTGTGGGAACATTCTGGGTGAGCAACTCACCCAGAATCTTCCCACACTCACTGGGCACTGCCACCTGGAGGTTCCCTCTGGGTCACACTACACAACTCTAGGAGTTGTACAGTTGTGGGCATGTGGCCCATTCCTTTATATAGCAACCATGCAGGGAGATGAGACCTTTACCCTTCTTCTCATCTCATGCCCTGGATAGTGTGAGGACAGGCCAGATGGGGGTTGAGGTCAGGGAGCCTCTGAGTCCAGGGCTGGGCCCTGACAGTATATAAGCTGTAAGGTCGGTGTAGGTGCCGACCTTGGTGCCTCTTCAGTTCTCAAGACAATTGAAATATAGGTTGTACAGAACTTAGTATTTCAACGTGATGAGGGGAAGAGTGAAGTCCCCTTCACTCAACCCCGGACAATACATAAGTAAATACAGGAGGTACAACAATGAATAAATCAGGAATAATCTAAACCACCACCATTCCTTACATAAGCCTAGGAGAGCAGATCAGATGTGCTGAAAAAAGAGGGCATGCTACATACTTGCTTCCCAGAGGCTCGCAGTAGCTGGCCCCTTGTCAACCTCATGATGCCCTTGTACCAGTGGGAATCAAAAATTTCTGGCAACAAACTTATAAGTGGGGTTTTGAAACTAAGGTGCCCAGAAAAGGGTTGAGGTTGCCCTACAATGCTTATTGGGTCGCTGCAAGCAGGCTAGAAATCTAAATGCAAGCAAATTTGTGGGGAGGGAGTCTAGGGTGTCCTTAGCCCATCCTAGGTTCGGTCCAGGTGCTAACAGAACAAAACCAGTCACAAAAACTCTTTAAGAATTACATACCCCTGGTCCTTCTTGGACAATCATCAGGGATTCCTTATAATACTCAAGCAGTTAAGCTCAGGGTTTCTTCTCTACTTGGATCTCTCAGCACTACAGTCTCTTTTGTAGTCAAAAGGGAGGTCTCTCTTCCATTCCTATGTGTACAGGGCTTATAAACACATGGAATGGCAATAAGGTGAAAAAACAAATGAAAAGTAAATATAAAACAAAGGATCGTTGTTATGGGGACCATGTGGACAGTATGGCTGATGTGGAAGTTCAATAAAAAGAAAAACAGGAGAGATAAGTGGGCCATATCTGCTATAATTGCCATCCTCCACCAATTTCCATCATCACACCACACTCATCCATCTCCTCCTACCTGTAGCATCCCTTCCCAACCTCTCCATTCAATTCCCCAGGTCTGTAGCTTTCTCCCAATACCAAATTTGTCCCAAATGGTTGAGATTTGACCAAGTGGTGGGTGTGAGAATTGTGAAATTGGCCTGTGCACAGGGTCAGATGTCCTGGAAAGTGTCTGCAAGAGTCCCCATGTCAATTGGATCTTCATATGCATCCTTTGTGATTTTTCTGAGCACTCAAGAGTGCATTTTGGATGTTTGTTTACTTTGGTACAGCTTGTGATTTCCATTTTGGGCCAAAAACCAGTTTCGCAATCTCCCAAAGTACAGATCTCAGCTCTGCCACATGGGACTTTTGGCACCGCCACCCTCACATGTCTTTTGACATTGTGTGGAACCTCACAGTAAGATGAGAAATCGTCACCACCATTGCTCCACAATGGCTGGGTCGATCTGGATGAAATTCGGGGTATCCATGTTTAGTATTTTTCTCTATTTTTTGAACCCTTGATCGTCTCTCAGCAGCCAGTAGTGCCAAGAATAGTTTTTGGCTGGACCAATTCAGTACTAACACATTATGTGCAATTGTACTCCATTATAAAATGAAATAAATTGTTTTTATGCACCATGGGCATTGGTAGGTGATCCTCACATGTGGGGAACCCATAAGGAACGTAAACCACAAAAATACTAGCAGTGTAGGGTATAGTAGGTTATCCTGCTTACATCACACCAGTGTCATATCCGTGCATACCCGACCCCGACCCGACTTCCGGACCTCCACCCTCTTCACCTCCGGAGTCATAACCTACCGCTGCCGTTCCGATACTCACCTTCGGTCTTGGCAACACACCTCCTTCTTACCCCCCATGCCACCTCTACTCCTCCTTACCTCTCCGACCCTATCTCTGTCTGCTCCGATACTCACCTCGGACTGAACACCGCCCCTCTTGCCACCCGTGTTGAGCGATCCCTCCATACGTTAAAGAAGCCTCCTGAAGACTGTCCAAGAAGGACCAGGAGTGAGTACTGATTTAGTGAGATTTATTGATTGTTTCCTAGCACCCAGACCACGGCACAGTATTGGCACTGTCACCACCCATCCTTTCCCTTCCTTCTGACTCGATTCAGACTCTACCCCCAGGTCCCTACTCTTTTGCCTGGTGTTAGAACGGGGCGGAAACAGACGACTCCGGAGTGGAATCGGAGACTTAGCGTGGAGGGACCTTGGCCTCAGCGACTCAAGCGGAGCGCTGTGCCATTGCTGGTTGTCCTAGGGGTCCCTAATTTCGGATCTAGCAGAGGGAAAGTCTCTTGGGGGAATTCATGTCGATTTCAGACTGAGGTTACAAGTTACTATGTACATTGTATATAAGGAGGGGTCCGGAATCAAAAGGAGCGAGGGTAGGACGAAAGGAGACAAAGGGAGATGGAAAGAGGAACGACACCGAGGGTCAAGGGTTTGACTCAATGGTGTTTCTCAAAGGAGGAATGAAGGGCCAAGGCCCAAGGAGGAAGGAAGGAGGTTGGGAGTGGGGAATGGCTAGCTGACTGAATAGAAAGGAAGCAGCAGCCCAAATAGGAATGAGGGAGAATAGCGGAATTGAATAGGACAATGCAATAGTTGCAAGGTCTGACATAAGTCCGGAAAGTCCGAACTCGGAAGTTAAACTCCGGAATATTGGCAAACATAATTAAATGGAATGAGCTAACCAATACAATGGGTATAAGCGGAGGTGGGGTCAAAGTCCGAGGTCGGAGCTAAGACCGGAGGTTCCGGAGACAGAGATGTGAACAGGATTCTGGAGCGGAGGTCCGGAGTCGGGAGCATAGGTTTTGTGTACTCGTCTGGAAGGTGTCGAGGTTGGGGTCGGACCCGGAATGTTCCGGAGTCAGACCGAAGGTGGTGTCCGAGCCGGAGGTGGGATAACCTCTTGGGAGTCGGCAAGGAGAAGGTGACGGAAGGGAAGTAGGGCTCTGGAAGTCGGAGTTTGGAGTTCCGGGAGCCCGGAGCAGAGGTCGGAATTGTATGGATATGACAACTACTTCTTGATGCCTGCATTTATCGACAAAATATGAGAGTGTTACCACTCATGTCGATACCATAAAGGTGAGGGTCACACGAGGGAGACACTGCTCGATTTTGTGACATGCAAGTTGCGATTATTGTGCACTCTCTACCCTCTGGCTGACATACCAAGTCAGGATATCCTGAAGGGTGAAGTCCAAAGGCTATTGGAGGATGTTCCCAGAGGTTGGTGGGCCCACGTCAACATCGACCATCTCGAGACAGCGGAGGCACTCCAACAAATGGTCATGCTCAAACACGACGAGCTGGTGGCCACCGAAGAGGTCAGCATCAATGCCATTGCCAATAAGGTCGCCAGGTTGAACTTTGAAAAGAACAAATGTGGAACAGATCAAGTAGAAGCTTGAAGTGCAGCTGCAGTGTCAGAGAGCCACACCTACCCCATGAGTGATTTCAAATCACGTAAGAAGCTGCCTCGACCCTGTAGACATTGCAGGAGTGCCCTGCACTGGGACAATGACTGTCCACCTCGTAAGCCAGACCGGACCAAGAGTGATCGCAAGGATTGAGGTGGCCCTTCCAAGTTGGAGCATTCCTATCGACGGGTGTATACTGCCTTGGTGGAAGGGCAGGAAGCGGAATTTGCAGTCGCTTACACTGTCAGAGACCGGGTTGAGACGAGAGAGTGTCTCCATGGTGGAGGGCTTCGGCCTCAGCAACTAGTGCCAGGAGTGCTGTGCCAAGTAACATGTCCATGCCCTAACTTACTAACTGGCAACCAGAACTCAAAGGGGGTAAACTCTAGTTGATTTTATTACTGAAGTGTAACCTATGTACAAGTTGAGTATATATAGTTACAGCGAGGGCGGGTCCGCAAATGGTGGAGCGGAGCTAACGGTGTTAAACATTAGCCGATTGAATATTACCAATGAGTCAGGTTATGGGGTTAATGGAAAGGCAGGTGATAACCCAGAAACGGAAAGGAGGGATAGGCCCAAGGGTGGGCTCTGCAGGGCAAGCAAGTGTATTGCCCAGCGGAGGCGGGAGTATGCTAGCAGACGTCGGAGCTGTCTGGAAGCCTTCGGGGCTCCGTACTTAGGGAGGCATAGGGGTGAGTGTTATTATAATAAATAATGAAAGATTTGTATTTTTTTATATCTTATTATATAAATTATTATATTTATTATAAAATATTAATTTACTTATATTAAATATAATATAAAGATATAAGTAATTATCCATAGAGATAATTCTAAATATATTTATATTATTTTATTAATAATTAGTTTGTCTAGCGCAATTATATTAAATTTTTATATTTTTAGATATACTGACGTATTAACTTGAGTATTTTGATTTACTATTTCATTGTTATTAAGTAGTTATATTATAAATAATTTTATTCCCATAGAAAAATCAGATATAACTAAACCTTCACCAAAAGGTATAACTCCTAAACCTAATAAACTAAATACTAAAGTTAATATAGGAGCTAAATAGAATAATACTTTATTTGCATGAGCTGGTACTATTGTTTCTTTAAGAACAAGTTTTAAAGCATCACTAAATGGTTGCAGAATAGGTAATAAATTGAAAGGAGGGGTGGTGACCATCAAGGGGTACCGAGGGGATTGTGGAATGTGGAAGCTCTGAGGTTAGTGAAGAAGGAGCGGAGGCAGAGCAGAGGAGTCAGAGGGATCAGAAGTCGATGGCCGGGGATGGATATGACATACACCGAGTTTTGTACCCTGTCCAACTCAGATCCTGTGGACGTACTAGATGTAGAGAGTCCCGAAGAGACGCTGTAGGTGGGCACAGCTGGTACCATGCAAACAAGCTGATTATCGCAATTCTACCACCCACATCAAGCACCCCACTTCTGAAACACATTTACCACTGTTTCAGATACCCCTTCCATGTTTCCCATATTTTTTCCGATTTTTTTCAAGCCATTCCTGACCACGCACAACCATCAGTTTCCAAATTGGGCAACTGTCACCGGCCCGCATATTCCGCCGCTTCCTCCATATCTCCATCAATTCTCCACCGATCCGGACGAATTTGGTATCGTTGGAAGGCCCTTGTCAACACGAGTCGAACGATGTTACGAGCGACGGATTTGGTTCAGCGGTTGAGGCGATCGCCATGTTTCTTTATTTCCTTAACAACGTCAATATTTCTTTGATATTGCTTTTTTCTTGTTCCTTGTGGATCTGTTGCCATCCTAAACCTGTCGGATCATTCGCATTTCCACGTATTTCTTTCATATTTATAGTTACTGTCAGAGACCAGGTTGAGACGAAGGAGTGTCTCCATGGTGGAGGGCTTCGGCCTCAGCGACTTACGCCAGGAGCGCTGTGCCAAGTAACACGTCCATGCCCTAACTTACTAAACTGGCAACCAGAACTGAAGGGGGTAAACTCTAGTCGATTTTATTACTGAGGTGTAACCTATGTACAAGTTGAGTATATATAGTTACAATGAGGGTGGGTCCGCAAATGGTGGAGCTGAGCGGAGCGGAGCTAATGGGGTTAGACATTAGCCAATTGAATATTACCGACAAGTCAGGTTATGGGGTTAACGGAAAGGTAGGCGATAACCCAGAAACGGAAAGGAGGGATAAGCCCGAAGGTGGCCTTTGCAGGGCAAGCGAGTGTATTGCCCAGCGGAGGTGGGAGTGCGCTAGCGGACATCGGAGCTGTCTGGAAGCCTTCAGGGCTCCGTACTTAGGGAGGTGTAGGTAATAAATTGAAAGGAGGGGGTGGTGACCATCGAGGGGTACCGAGGTGGTTGCGGAATACAGGAGCTCTGAGGTTAGTGAAGAAGGAGTGGAGGTAGACTGGAAGGATCGGAGTGAGTGGAAGTCAATGGCCAGGAATGGATATGACAGTTACCCTCTTTCCTGTATTTACAAAAAGGACTCCCCCAACAGAGAGAGGTGCTCCCCAACGAACATGAAGTTTTAGCAGACGTTACCAGCACCCAGAGTGGTGAATACAAAGCCAAAAAGGTTCAAGACATAGTGCAGGGGCAGAGTTCCCCATCAGTTTGATTATCAGTGAGATTTACAAGTTTATCATTTTTATCATATAGCACCGGACCATTTCTCCTCCCCCCTCCTCATCATCCGAACCTCCCCTGAGCATTCCCAACAACTGTGGCCCCCTCTCTTTCTCGTTAGGGTGGTAGATCCCTTGCCCCCTTACAACGCCTGATGCCTACCTTGTTGCATGTGCTTGGGGTGAAATTCCCCATGAGGAGAAACTCATCAGTGCAACCAGGCCATGGGTGAAATCTATGAGGCACACAAGTTGTTCGATCGTCCCCTGGGTCAGCAGTCCCTGGGATCCGATGTGCGTAGAGTGCGATGTCATGTGAATGCCATCAATGGCCATGAGGTCGAGGCGTTGGCTGATTCTGGAGCCACCTGCATGCTGATGTCTGCTGAATTATTTGATTGCATCAAAAGTGAAGGATCCAGACTTCAGCAAGGGATGAAGCTGAATCTGGTCCAGTTGACTGGAAAAGCCAAATGTCAGGGTTACATGGTCATAGATCTTTATCTACCATCACAGCTGGGGCACGTCCTGTTGCGGGATGTGGAAGTCTATGTCCTCAAGGGCATGACGGTTCCATTGCTTATAGCTGAGGATGTACAGACAACCTACCAGCTGCACACAATGCACCTGCCTGAATGTGAATATTGGCAGGTCGCAGATTCAGAGCACCAGGTTCCCCTCAGGAGCCAGTTGCACCATCGATCAGTTTATCAAGTGACGCTATTACCAGATGCACCGGCCAAGGTCAAGAAGACAGCGAAGTCAGGAACTGGGCACCTGAAGCTAGTTGAAGATGTGACCCTAGAACCGTACACAGTGAGACAGGTCGAAGTTGCAGGCAGTTATGACAGCAACTCAGGAACACGTTTGGTCAAAGGTTGGAGCAGCCAGTGGAGCCCAGGAGGCTATTTGTGTCAGGGTTCAGCACCCTGCCTTAGGGTGCCCCGGACTCCCCACCTACTTTACCCCCTTTTATTCTTTGACTGTTGCCTTGTTGTTGCCTTTGTGTGTTGTGTACATGCGCGCACGGGATAGTGCGGGAACTTTCTGAGTGAGCAGCTCGCCCAGAATGTTCCCACGGGTCACAGCCACAGTTCTGGGCGAGCAACTCGCCCAGAACGTTCCCACGCTTGGCACTGCCACCTGGATGTTCCCTCCGGGTCACACTACACAACTCTAAGAGCTGTATAGTTGTGGGCATGTGACCCATTCCTTTATATAGCAACCATGCGGGGAGATGAGACCTTTACCCTTCTTCTCATCTCATGCCCCGCATAGGCAAGTGTATATATTCCCTTTCTTTTACTATACATCTCATGCCCCGCATAGTGTGAGGACAGGCCAGATAGGGGTTGAGGTCAGGGAGCCTCCGAGTCCGAGGCCGGGCCCTGACAATTTGCCACCACCTGTCATGCTGGTAGGCACTCAGAACCCCATCCAATTGCCTCTGACCAACCCAAACCCGTACCTGATCAGACTCTCCAAGGGTGAAATTGTCACCACTATGCAATGACCACGAGAGGTCCTAGACCGTGCAGACCAATTGACTGAGAACCAGCTGCACAAGTTCACTAGGAAAGGCATGCTGTATCAAGCCATGATTGCTGGCTTGTTGACCCAAAAACAACCAGAAGTTGAGGTGGATGCCCTTGAGTCTCTAGTCGGGCCCAAGACTGCAGAGACGCTGTAGGCAGGATAATCGCCCACTTGCAGTGCCGGCTCGGATACCCGTTTCCATGATTAGAAAATCCCTTCCATTCATGCGACAACTCGATACGGATTCGGTATCTAAAAATAGTCCTGATTCGTACGATTCTGACGATATCTAGAACGTCCCAATCGGTGGAGATTTGACGGAGTTCCGTGTTGGAGAAGTTAGGCACAGCAGGTCACGGGCATGTGCGGGCGTGGGAATCTCAAGCGGCAACCCAGAATTCCAGCCTCACTCGTTCCCACAGCGTCTAATAAATTGGTAAAAATGCTTATCGGCTGTGTGAAATTTATCTCCGGCTTCATTTCCAATTTCGGCTCTTAATTTTGCAAATCCATTGAGATATCGCTTATTTCCTTATATTTTCGTATTTTGCCATCATTTCAGATATTGATTGATATTCTTTTATTGTTACTGTTACCCTTTTTTTTATTATTTCGCCTAATAAGGTATGCAGGTGCCATATGGTACCAATATTTCCCATCTATTATTCTAAAAATAATTGTTCCTTATATCCTGTACATACCGGATTCTGGAATAGAAGTTCTCCCCTCCCCCAATTTCTCTATGGTGCTAGGACGCGCTAGAGAGGGTGTGAGTGTGTGGAATTCCAACAGTAGGAATAAGGGCAGTGATCTAGCTCACAATGAGTGAGTAGTGGACACTGAGCCCGGACCTTGCGGAAATCCCGGAGAACCCACTGCGGAGTTAAGGATCGAGAGAATAGCGAGTTTAGTCAAGAAAGTAGGATTTTGGAGAGTTTGGCCCCACGAGCTTAGTCGGCATAGAGAGCCGCGAGCCCTCTTTCAACGCCACCAGGGGAAGAGACACAGCCAGAAGCATTGACCCAAGTTGTGGACATTAACCCAGAGCTATCCCTCAATGAAAAGGAGCAGCTGAAAAGGATCGTGTGGCGTCACACCAAGGCTTTTGCCACGACTGGTAACTTGGGACATTATGACGCCTGGGTCCGCATATCATTGAAGCCTGATGCCAAGCCCATCTCTCTCCCTCCTTACCATGCATCACCACTAAAGAGGGAGATCATCGATAAGCAACTAGACTCTTGGTTGGAACTAGGAGTGATGGAGCCATCACGAAGTCCCTGGGGTGCTCCCGTCATAATCGTCAGCCAAAAAGGGAAGAACCGGCTGTGCATAGACTGGCGCAAGCTCAACGAAGTTACTATACCCGACAAATTCCCTATTCCAAGGCAGATGGACATCTTGCAGGCTCTGTCAGGGGCCCAGTACATGTCCACCTTCGACGCCCTGTCTGGATTTACACAACTCAAGGTCGATCAGGAGTCGAGAGACAAAACGGCCTTCCGTACTCACAGAGGGCTATACCAATTCACCAGAATGCCAAGAATGGACCCCCAGTGTTCCAGAGAGTGATGCAGGAAGTCTTGGCTCCCTTCCTATGGCAATTCACCCTGGTGTATATAGATGACATCATGGTCTACTCGCTGTCCTTCCGCCAGTGTCAGGGCACACCTACCTGACCCCACACCCCGCACCGCACTGCCCTACTCCGCTTCCCCCGCTATCACCCCCTGTCCCTCCTTCCTCACTTTTCCCCTTTCTCTCTCTTTCTATTCTACAGTCGATTTCCCTTTTCTCCATGTACCACTACATACCTAACCCCGTTCCCCTGATCGCCGCATGCGCCACGCACACTCCTGCCTACCAAGTGGCCACCTCCGGGATCTCCCGAGGAGACACCCAGGGAGGTGCAGCTGTGCGCAGAGATGATGTGGCCTCCTCCACATGACCCTGACCACATGTATATAATAGCGCCTGGGGTGGGAACAGAAGAAGCAGCCTTCTTCTCAACTTCCCAC